TTCAGCACAAAACGTCCTCTTTGGGTTTCCTGCAGTGTGGCGCCGCAACAAAGACATGAAATGGTTCTTTATTTTTTTTAAAACATTTTATTAATTTAAAAAAAAAAAAACAGCTAAGAAGAAATGAAGTTTTAAAGAGACGGGGATGGTAAGTAATGGAGGCTCCCAAATGGATTCAACCCCGAGACATCAGTGTTCTGTAGAAACAGGCTGATGAGCCAAAGCATGCTGCCTGATGTGCTGCTGGTCCTCCGCATGCTGCCAAAACAGCTCCAGCTCGCCGGGGCCTGGACTCTGAAAGACCCCCGAACAAGCCCTGTGGTTTCTGGCAAAGAGATATTTGCAGCACATCCTGCAAGTTGTAAGTTGGATCAGACTTGTTTCGCTCTGTTTTCATATTTATTTGGTCCATTGGCAGCAGCTAATCGACTGCTAGCAGTTAAAAGATGAGAACATCCAGGCTGGACGTGCTGGTGTGGGCAGTGGGGACATGTTGGGACCAGTGATGCTGAGAAACTGCTCCTCTGATGATAATGTGGATGTGAAATATCTGCTTGAAATCAGGGGACATGTGTCTGATATGAGTCCCTTTCATCCTCTTTGCCAAAACCCTGTTGCTTTCACTTCACACGACGCAACACGAGCGCCGACACTTTGGTTCAGGTGTTTTATTCTGGTAGCAGCTGACGTCGCCTCAAGCTGCTGGCAGGCGGAGACGAGCTGCAGAGGTCTGGAAAGATGGCTTTCTGTCTGACTCCACTCCTCCTGGTGTTGTGTTTAAATCATTATTAGAAAACTTTTAAACCAGCTAATGAATTTGAGGACATTTAGAATTTATAGCAGACGTGTGGATTCTGTCCTGTGTGACTTACTTTGGAGGATGTTTATGAACTGGGGCAAAGTGTGTGAACTTTTTTACAGTGACCTCATTTCCTGCATTAATAGGTCATAAAATGCAATTTGGTCTTCGTCCAAGTTTAAACCAGCAAAATGTGCAAAATGATCCTCTCTGTGTCTTTACTGAGCACATCCATAGAATATTCAGCGTTGAAACAAAGCAAAACCTTGGATTTAAAAACAGGTCAAACCTTAATAACTTCAAACAAGTGTTTCCAGAAGCTGCAGGCGATTCCCTCACAGAGCTGCATTAGCTCGTCCATATCACCAGGAGTGAATGGCTCTCACAGGCCACTCTGCTGGGTCGCTGTCCTGCTGCACCACTCCTTCTTTCAGCAGATAGCCGTCTTGGTAGCACCCTGGTGATAAAATTGGGAATTAGTTTCCAGCAGCATGATGGTGGGCCGTCCGAGCCCAGAGGCAGTAAAGCAGCTTCAGACCATGATGGTGCCACCACCGTGCTTCACCTCCCAAACAAATCAACTTCAGCTTCATCAGGCTTCACATTCCCACCACGCCTGTTCAGACGCCCTCATGTGGTCGACACATGAACAGAGATGCTAACCAGCTCTCATGACTCTTCAAAGCCCTTTGCTGTTGCTCTGGTTTACCTCACTGAGCGTGCTCTTTGGAATCATCGTCCTCCAGCCAGAGACACCACAGCGCTGAATCATCTCCATCTTTAAACAGTTTGACCAATCAATAGCTCTCGATGGTAACTCTTGACTCCAGTTAGCTTTTATTGACGCCGTTAGCCTCGAGGTTCACGCGTCTTATTCAGCCCACACTGTGAATATATGAATGATACGGACGATGAGTGCAGAGTTGAAACTTTCTGGGAGATCTGACGATGTTATCAGACAAATCTAACAGCTGCACAAATCTGGATCAGGCAATAAATAAATACTTGGTGGAGTGCTGTCAGGTTTTTCATACGGTCACATGGGTCAGTCTCCAGACTACAAGTCATTCATGCAAATATTCTTAATTTTGTCTTTTTAGCATCCCTGTGTTTGACTTTATATTATATTTACACTGCACCAACTGCCCTGTTAAGACACTTGATCCATATGTGTGCAACGTTTAGTGCTAAACATAGCTCATTTTGCCTCTCTACTCTATTTTTTCTTACTACACTTATATTGCTGTATTTCTACTTATTGTTTTATTGTACTTATTATTTATTAGGCTCTTTCTTTTAAAACAAACTGGTCCTGAGTACTAATTTGGTATCACCAACATGTGAATGTGAGCTGGCACGACAAATTAATCCCATATACCTCGCCTCTTTAATTTATAGTTGTGTTTGCTTGTTTTTCTTGCTGTCAGTTTGCTGCTGTGATGCTGCAAACTTCCTCCTTATGGGACTAATAAAGGATATTCTATTCTATTCTATTCTATTAAACCTCCCGTCACTGCTCAGCTGTTCCAAAACCTAAAAATTGAGCCAAGAGGAGCAAAACTTCAGATCACTTGAATGACAAAATGCTGTCGTTATTATGGAATTTATGTTCAGTGATGCGACAGAAACACTCCTCATCCCACCTCCAAACATAAACACATATCACTTTTTCCTGCCACTGCAGCACCATACGTCCTTCTCATTACTGCTTTAAGACAGACTGAGGAAAAACTGTGAACCCTATAGGTCCCTGTGCACGCTAATTGCCAAATGTAGCCCATCCTGGGTGTTTTATTTTGACTATCTGATCGGATGGGTGGCTGTCTGCTCGTGTAATTGTTTGGCGGCGAGATTAAACGATTAAAAACTTAGAAAATTGCATCTACTTTGGATTGTCAATGAAAGTGTTGCTGCAAAAAAAGGAAGAAGAAGAAAAAAAACACCCCAATTAAAAAGTTGCCAAACAGCATTTCAGCAGAGGAAGCTGAATTATTGAACCAGCAACAGTGCTTAACTCAACTTAAAGGATCCGTCAGCACAATGCGCACCGAATCTGTGAAGCCATCACTTCCCTGACACTAATGTACAGTGTTCCTGGACTGCTGTAATTAACACGGCACTATATTCTCTTTGCAGCCAATTACCCCACATGTTGGAGCTGCAAGCGTGAACAAGGGAGAGAAAAAAAAATCTGTCGGAGGTGACAAAAGCCACCTAATGGAAAAATCTGTTACTCCTACAACAGGCCTGCTCTATCAGTGGGAATCAATACGCCTTTCACCACAGAGATCTCAGCTGGACTGTGTTATCTAGGTAGGCTATACATCAGAGCGGAGCGCCGTTACTGCCCCCGCCCGCCGGTGCAGCCGCTCACTGATTACAAAGTCATACAGTGTCGACTTCCTCAAGCTTTACTTCAACCAGAAAGTATAATAGAAATGAAGAAAGAGGAGTGGAGGGGTAGGAGGGGGGGAAACTCTTTATTCAGACACAAAAGAAAGCTGACAGGCATTCATTTAAAGAAAAACAGGGTTGGTAACGAATGCACATATCGCAGGTTTCAGCCCCGTTTAGATCAGTCAGCAAAAATACAGATGCTCAGAAACTTTCCATTCCTCTGCACACCAGGTGCATCGATCAGCATCCAACTAAAGCTAGATAGAGAAGAGGGTGTTTCAAAACTCAGTACAAAAACACTACATTAGATCAGAGCAGTTCATCTCTCCATGGACTCGCATGTATCCAGCCTGCCTGTTTGTGAGCTGAGGGGTTTAAGAATTGTCGCTGTCCTCGCTGTCGTAGTATCTGTTCTTCTTGATCTGCTCCTCCACCGTCAGGGCCTCCAGGTCCTCGGCCCACAGAGGAGCGCCCTCCCCGGCCGCGCCGCTCTCCTCCGTCGCCCTCGCCTCCATCCCAAAATCCAAAAGGTCGTCCAGCGCCGACACCGGAGGCCTCTCCCCGGCAGACTGACTGAAGATGTCGGATTTGAAATCTGATAGCAGGCCGGAGCTGCTGGTGCTCAGGCCGGCGAAAATGTCCTCGAGGAAGCTTGATGTGCTAATCTTTGGCTCGGTGGCCTCGTGTTTGAAAGCGAACGCTCCCTCGGCTGTCTCTGTGAAGAAACGTGCGTCTGAATAGCAGTCTCTGGCTTCAGTACATTTGGCACCCGACGGCACAAAAGCATCCTCCCTCTGTGCCAGCTGCAGCACTTCACTTGGCATCCATTTTGGTTCTTTACAGGCATCATCTTGGGCAGAATCTGTTGATCTGCTCGTATCTGTCAACGGGAGGTTTTTTGCTTCCTCGTCCTCATTAAAGCCGTGAACCCAGGCTTCCTGGTCAAACAACGTCTGGGCGTTATTATTATTATTGTTGTTGTTGTTTGCATTCAGCGCCTGCCCCGCCGTCGCCTCCTCATCTATGAGCGTGACCTTTACCGCCTCGCCGTTGCTCAGGCTTTCATCATTTCCTTTATCCATCTCCTGCTTCTCAATCGCTGCACTTCCTACCTGCCCGTCGTGTCCATTTACCTTTGCTTCCTCCCTTCCTGCACTTTCCTCCCCGTTCCTCGGCGGCGCCCTGCCCTCCCCCTCTCCTCCGTCGCTGCCTTCGCTTTGTTCTTTCTGCTCCACTCCAGGATGCACTTCAGAGTCCATTTCAGAACCCACTTGTGCCGCAGCCTCAGAGCCGCTGTTTGACTCTTTGGTTTCTGTCGCCGGGTCGTCGCCGGCGGCTGCAGAGGAGGCCGGAGCCTCACACTCTGCTGGAGGCTCTTCAGGCCTGTTCTCTGCTGAACAGGTGCTCTGCTGCTCCCGCTCGGCTTCCTGGGGACCGTTTTGTGCTGGAACTGCTGGAGCACCGGTCTCTTCTAATGAAGGCTTCGCCGGCTGATTTAGGGGGTCATTATCCTGAGGCGAGCCCTCCTTCGGGGGCCATGACGGCTTAGCCAGCTTCAGCTCCTCCTCGATGGTGAAGGATTTCTTTGGAGAGTCTGCCTGGGGGGGCCACACCACTGAAATCTTGCTGGTGGGCTTTTTGTTCTCATCCACTGATTGTCTTGTGTCGCTGTCCTGAGCGGCTGCTGTGCTCTGAGCAGCAGCAAACCCAGAATCCATGACTTTCTTTTCAGGTGACGGTGACTTTACGGCTGCGTTCTGCTGGTTCTTGTTGTTCCAGAGTTCTTTGTGTGGTTTCTGTCCAAATCCCTCGTCGTAATTCCCTTTGGACTTGAACAGCTGCTTGTAGTGGGGCTTGCAGTACATTCGTCCATGGAGAGAGGCGTAGTTGCCGAGGCTGTTTTTAAAAGACAGACACGAGTTAAAACAGCGGGAAAAGACAACCAATAGGAATGCTTGTAGCTCTGTGAAGCGCCTCTACCTTAGTGTGCCTCTGCAGTGTTCACAGCGGAAGCAGCTTTTATGAAAGTTTTGTTTGTCTGCGATCAGCGACTCCATGGGGTACACCCTCTTCCGACACACCCGGCACAGCTCCGAGTCTGGAACTCGAATTCTCTGCAAAGGAGAGGACAAGAGTCAGACGTAAGGCCTGGAGGAAGATCCTCAGAATGCTTTTAGGTCATTTCCTGGAAAGAACAACGTAATCTGGGACGAAAATTAAGCTTCTCAATTAAAGTCTAACCCAGAAACGTGGCTGCTTCACATCATCCATGTGCTTCATTTGAGAGAAAAAAGAACGAATGCTAACTGTAAAGAAGTAATGGTGTGTTCTGAGCCTCTCTCTCTGCTCGCTAACGCTGTACCAACACTTCAGCCACACGTGTTGGAATCAGAAAGCAATTCTGAAGAAGAGAAACGAGGCAGAACGCCCCACTGTGCAGGCTGATGGAAGCGCTTCCTCGGGTTTGTTATGAACGAAACCCTGGAAGCTGAAATCAGCGTCGTCATCGGCAGCTTCGAGGCAGAAACGCTCAGACTGATGCTTTTATTAGCTTCTGCAGCCACAAACGGTGGATACAGGATGGTACGACGTGAACTTCTCTTGGAAGATGTTCTGGATGTCAGCTTCACAGCATCTCAAAGGAAACGAGGCTGCAGCTGCAAATGGCACACTGTTTGTAGAATGAAGCTAATGTGTGTGACCTTAAAAATGTGTGAAATTGTTTAAATTGATGTATAAATATTAATATTTGCAGGTTTTAATCACAAGTTGACACAAGCTTCTACCAGCGAGGTCATAATGAAGCCGTATTTAACTCTTTCCAGGAAAATTCCCACGAAGCTGTTCAAAGAATTATGAGGAAATGATTTTTAAAAAAAGCATCAAAACCTTTTATGTGTTTGAGTTAATCAGGGTGACAGCAAACAAGGTTAAAATACAAAATGCAGACATTTGAAGGTGTTCTCTCTGTCATTAGTCTCACTTTAAGTTTTCATTTTCTTGAAGGATTTGAGTCATTTTCACAATTCCTGCAAAAGCTCTGAAAATACATTTCATTCTTTTTAAACTCTATTTTGGACTCGGCAGCAAAAAAAGTAAATGAGAATGATTGTTTTCTTGTTGCTACGCCGCCCCGCTGAGAAAACAGCATCCCAGCACCATGCATGAGAAGTATTAGTTCAATATGTTAGCGACGTCGTCAGCTTCACACATCAGAGGCATAAACAAACAGAACAAAGTGTAACCTGTGAATATTAAAAGGTGTGAAACTGCCAGCGCCTAAACCGCTTCAGTGGGAACGTTTCAAATCAGGGGGAACACAAAAAAATACAAACCAAGCAGCATAAAAAACAGTGTCAGACTGATGTTAATGCTTCTTTCCTGTCCTCACACACAAAGCTTGTTAGACACACCGTCGGCCGGCTTTGGCGTCCTCATGCTGCCGTTTACCCGTGACCACCGTCTCCTGCTGGTGCGTTACGATCTGTGAGGTCCTCTGCTCCGTGACGCTGAAGCCCAGGTTCTGGAACACTCCCTGACTCTCAGCCCACGACTGCTGGAAGTTCCTTAGCAGCTCCTCGGTGGAGGCCTCGGGGGGCACGGCGACTGTCGGGACTCTTCCCCTCACCACGTCTGCGTAGGACGGGGGGCTGCCGCGGGTCAGGGAGCTCCCCGAATGCATCTCGCTCCTCGTCTCCGTTGTCATGTTGCCGAAGTCGTCAATGGTGCAGAATTGCTCAGTGACTGATGTCATTTCAGAGCGATCGGCCGGCTCTGAGCAGGCTGCTTCAGGTTCCCTCCTCTCTATTTGTTCTCTCAGCTCTCGGGCAGCCTGAGACGTGTGCTCTCCCGTCTCAAACACGTCCTTTATGGCTTTGACGTTGAACGTTGGGATGTCTTCGGTTCGTGGCGTGTGCGGCTCGGCCTCTGGGTCCTCGGTGTCGCTCCCCAGCCTCTCCGTGATCACTATGGGGTCCTTCCTGGTGTAGACTTTTGGTTTGGGAGATTCAAATCTGTTGACAAGCTTCGATAAATCAACTCTCGGCAGATCCTCTTTCAGAATATCGATGGTCACGCCCCCTACAGCCTCCTCAGCATCCGGGCCCAGACGTTCAGGGATGTCGATGGGATCCTTGCGGATGTACGTCTTGTTCACTTCGGCCTTCTGCGCTTCCTCAAAGAAAGACTTTTTGTCCCTGACCGTCATCATGGAATCCACCATCTCTGCGACGTCCACCGAGTCGAGCTCGGTCCTCTCGGTGGGGGTGCTCCTGTCGCTGAAGGAGGACGTTCGCTCTCGCTCAGCGGTGAAGAACTCTGGGATCGGCATGGGAGGTGGAGGGGTGACACCACGGGACAGCTTGGAGGTGGTGTCCTTCAGCTTCATCAGCTTCTCCGAGCGGCTCAGGGTGGGAGAGGGCGTGGCCCTGCTGAAGGCAGACGTGGGCGTGAAGGACTTGCGAGGAGGAGGTGGAGGCGTCCCGACGGATTTGTAGGGTGGAGGAGAGGGAGTGACCCTCAGAGGAGAGTCCACCTTTCTGGATTCAATGCTGATGAAGGTGGGCGATGGGGTTCGGATGCTGGCCAACGGGGACGACACTCTCTGATCGTCACTCAGCTCGTGATGCCTTCTGCTCTCCTGAATGGATTTTTTCTCCTCCATCACCTTCTTCTCAATCCTGGACGAGCCAATGCTGATCTTTGACACCTTTGTAGTCGCCCCACTGAAGACTTTCTTGTCTGGCTTTGGGGGGACTGGTGGTGCTGGTGGTGCTGGTGGAGCTTCTTTTTCTTCTTTTTCTTCCTTTTCTTCCTTTTCTTCCTTTTCCACAGCTGTCAAAGTTTTCTCAAAAAATGTGAGCTTTGCTTGAACAATATTTCTCACATAGACCATCATCTCCTTCAGCTTTTTCTTGCTTTTCTGTTTAGCAATTTCACTTAAATTCCTTTTCTCATCTGGGACCATTACCCAGTCAGGGACTTCGCCTATAATCATCCTGACAGCGTTGGAGTCTATTTTGCTCGGCGTGCCCTCCAGCTCTTTCATTTGAGCGAGCAGCTTCTGCATTACGCTGCATTTCTCTGAATCTGTGATCTGTTGTGGGTGAGCCTCGTCTTTATGGGTCATCCTCCCCGTCCCTTTCACCAGCACATCCTGAGGCTCCACTTTTGACTTGCCTGCCTTCATCTGCATTTTGTTTGTCTCTGCTGCTTGGAGCTTCATCTGCTGCTTCTGCGTGTGGACCTGCTCTTGCCTCTGAAGGCTTTGCTGCATCACGCTCTCCGTCACCACCACCTCTTGGTGCCGCTGAACGTTCTCCGCCTTCACGCTCTGCTGACACTGGGAGACAGACACATGGCCTTGTCCCTGATGGGCTGCTGCAGATGTTATCTTCGCCACCTTCGGCATTAAAACAGTAACGGATGGCGACAGCTTCACTTCACTCACTTCTTTTTGCGCCTGCTTCCCCTTCCTCATGCTTAACTCCACTTCAGCTTCCTTCACAGGTGGGACCGACTGACTTTTCTTCTCCTTCACCTTCACGTCTGTCTCAGTTCTCACCGTCGTCAGCTGGCTGACCTCCACGCTCGCTTGTGTTTCACCACGTTTCTGCGACACATGACTTTTGTCTTGCTGCGACTGCGTTTCACTCTTCGCTGCTTCTTTCTGACCCAAACTGTCATACGTCTCCTCTTTCTTCTCGGTTGGCATTTTAAAGGTTTTCACCTTGAAGCTTGGCGTTACCTTTGGAATTTTAGTGGGTTGAGAAGGACTCATTTTTCCCTCCTGTGTCAGAGGCACATTAATATTCTTTACATCTTCAGATTTCAATGTGACCGCAGCCTGGCTTTGAAGATTTACATTCTCGTGGACGGCGACAGACCTGCTGCTGGATTTCTTAATAAACTGCTGCTGCTCCGTGACTGAAGAAGTGACCACGCTGGAGCATGACCGGACTTCGCTATGTGAAGCCTCGTGATGCGAAACAGAAGCCGTCTGGGTCTTGGGTGCGCCTTGACCCTTCCTGACAACATCAGCAGACGTGAGGGTTTTTTCTGTCGAGTGCTCGTTGGAAACGTGTTTTCTATCCAGAGACACGTTTGAAGATCCGTGGGATGATTTCTTATTTTCCACAGAGATCGTAGGTTTGCTCAAAGGGATCTGGGAAGGGGATTTCTTGGCAGGTGAGTCTTGTGCCAGTGCTCCTTCTTTGGAAAGCGTCTTAGCCTCTTTAGTCTTTGCCTTTGTCGCTTCCACAGCCACTTCTTTCTCAGCGCTCTCCGTTTCAGAAAGCTGGACGCTGGCAGCAGAGAAGTGACCTGGTGGAGAGGTGGGGGTCGTGACATTACTCCTCTCTGTTTCCTCCTTCTCCAGCTTTTGTTGGCGGTACCGCTCCTCCGCCAGCATGAGCGGGGTTTTAAATTTACGGGCGTACGGTCTAGATTTCGCGGCTGGAGCAGGATCTGGGGGTGGTGGCAGTTTAATGGGAGGGACAAAGGCTTTTCTGGGCGGCTGTGGGCTTTGTTTGGGCTTTACCACCGGGATGATTGGGATTTTCGTCGGTGCCGATGCTGTTGAACTAACCTGAACGCTGGTTTCAGTCTGCTGGGTCGTTTCCTGTTTCACCTCCTGAACTTTAGCTTCCTTGTGGACGGCTGACGTTACTGTTTTTTGATCGGGAGGGAGCTGAGCTGGTGGAGGAGGAGGTGGTGGTGGTGGAGGGGTTGGTTGTTTTTTCTGCCATTTGGGTTTAACTTGGATGGGCTGCTTCTGCGGTTCTGGCTGCTTGGGCACCTTGAACAAAGGCTTCCCAATGGGCTTCCCCAGCTTCATGGGGGGAGGCTGGGGCATCGCGTTGAGCTCCTGCTGGGAGGGAGGTGGAGGCAGGAAGTCTTGTCCGCTCATGGATGGAGGCGGAGGAGGTGGAGGAGGAGGGAAAAACTCGGGCTCAGACTTCATGCATTCCACGGGCGGTGGAGGTGGAGGTGGTGGGAGGTCACTGTCCTGCCTCATGATGGACGGCCTGGACGTTGGGTTCTCCGCCACTGGAGACGGCGGCGGAGGGAGGGAGAGTTCAGACTCCGAGGGCGGAGGCGGCGAGGAAGGAGGAGGCGGGAAGTGAATCTCCGGCTTTGTCTTTTTATTCACGCCCTTGGCTCTCATGTCAAGGCTGCGCTGATCGCTCTTCATATTCCTGACGCTCTGCTTCTGTGCGAGAGCTTTATTCTCCGTTTGCTTGTGAGACGTCGACATGTGCTCCGACGCCGATACGTTCTGCTTATGCACCGTTTTCTCCGTCACCGTCGTCTGCACCTGTTTGATTGTCTTCATCTCACACGTTTGCTTGCTCGAAACATTCGTCTGTGATGTGTTTTGCACTTCTTTCATCACAGTCACATCAGCGGCTTTCGTCTCTGTTTGATCATTATTCACCTTCTGTTTATTCTTTATCATAACAGGCTTAGGAGCTTGGATTTTCTGTGGGGGCAGCACTTTCTGTTTCTGTTCCTTTGTGCTCTTGTGTTGAGAGGCCCCTGCTGGATTGTCTGTTGTGGCTACAGTAACAGAGTGGTCCTCTTGGGTTATTACCTGTGTTTTCAGCGATTTGCTTTCCTGGTGCCTCTGTGTGTGCTTCTGTGACTCACTGCTCTGAGAGAGGTTTTTCACAGTGGGGGCTGGATTGTCTGACACACTCTCACTCTTGGCTTCATGTAAGCATTCATGCTCCACTTGCTTTACAGGTAATGGGTTTTTCACGGGCGCTTTCGCCTTCTTCGGCGGATACATGCGTTTGGGATTTGAATACTGTTTTCTTTGCATTAGACACTTTATTGCACCTTGAACGTCGCCCTTTACAACCTCCTCCTTTTCCACCTGCGTCGCCTCCTGCCCTTCATAAAGACATTTTATGGATGTTTTCACGTCTCCTTCGATGCTCCCTCTGCGCTGCATCTTTGGAGAAGTCGTGGGCTCCAGCAGCAGCTGGATGGTGGCTCTGACGTCGCCCTGCTCACTCACTTGGTGCTGATAAACCTTTTTCTCGCTCGACGCTTCGTGTAAGCTTTGCATGGCGGTGTGAATGTCTCCTTTGACGATCTCCTGCTTCTCCACCTCCTTCACAGCCTGCTTCGCCTCCTCCAGTGACTTCAGCGTCCCTCTGATGTCACCGGCCACTAAATCTTCAACAGTTACTTCTGTTTTGGTGGATGCTGATTTTTCCAGCGATTCGAGAGCCCCCCTGATGTCTCCTCTGACAATTTCAGGCTTTTCCAGTTCTTTGGCTTGATGCTGGGCCTCTTCTAAAGACTTCAAAGTGGTCGGTATGTCTCCTTTCACCACCTGCTCTTTCTCTATCACCACCTTCTGATTGATGGCTTGGGTCAGTGAGTCCAGGGCTGCGCTGAGGTCACCTTTAACAATGTCCTTCTTCTCCAGGTTTCTGTACGTGACAGCAGGCTCTGTCATAAAGACTTTAACAATGCTGTGCACATCACCAGGAAGTATGTCCACCTCTGCCACAGTGCGACCAATCTGCTGCTGATTCTTTCGCAGCAGGATTTTGGTCTCTTCGATGTCGCCGCCTATGATCCGCTCCTTTTGCACGGTTTCCTGGTCTTCATCGGGCTCATACTGAAGCTGCTTCAGGTAATCCAAAGCTCCAGACTCGATGCACGTCGAGTAAAAGCTGACATTACCCCTTTCTGTGTCTCCGACCCTTATCTTCTTAGAATCCTCTCCACCCGAGTTAGAAAGCAGACGATGAAGCGTTTTGCTGACGTTCCCTTGAATGATATCTTCTCTCTCCATGCTCGCTCTCTCGCCTTTATTTAAGAGGGAATAGATAGTCATCCTCACGTCTCCTTTCTCATCCTCCTGAATAAGGATGCCACGCTTGGAGGAGCCCTCGTTCTTAAGCAGGTTGTTCATGGCCTCTTGAATGTCCCCGCAGATAATTTCCTCTTTCTCGACACTGATTCCCTTTTCCTGGCTGAAGAGCTGCTGCACCGTGGTGTTGATGTTGCCCCGCTCCTCCTCATCAATCGTTATGGCCCTTTCGGTGGTCTCTCTTCGGTTCAGAAGGTTCATCATTATGTTGCTCAGATCCCCTCTGATGACCTCTTCTTTCTGGATCTGTGGAGCCTCTTGGTTCATGAGTTTATACTTTGCCATGCGGACGTCACCGATCTCGTCCGTCTCGATGAGAATGCCCTGTGAGTCCACCATTTTCTGACAGTACAGCTCCTCCAGCGTCTCTTTGATGCTCTTTCCTAATATTTCCGTCTTCTCCACGCTGCTCTCGTTGAACTCGTGAAACGGAGTGGTTTCAAATAGCCATGTTGTCGTCTTCACGTCGGCCTGTGGGATTTCTTCCTTTGTCACAACCAGCTCTGTGCCGTCACTCTCTTTGATGCTGTCGAGGGGCTGCTTCTCAAAGAGCCACACAGACTGCGTGACATCCCCTTTCATTACTTCCTCTTTTGTCACTTTCTCCATGCCATCGTACTCGGCTCCATCGCCGTGGATCTCATCGATTGTGCGGGTTTCAAACATCCACGTGGCAGATCTGACGTCGCCTTTCTGGATTTCACTCACGCTAACGGTCCTGATGTACTTCTGCGACAGTTCATCCGTCTCAAATCGCTGTTTGTTTGTCTTCACGTCGCCGCCTTGGATATCTGCAACTGTCTTTGACCTGACTTTAATCTCCTGTGTGATTTCATCCAGAGGTTGTGTTTCAAACCTCCACCTGGCAGAGCTAACGTCTCCTTTGTTGACACCTTCTTCAGTCACAGCTTTAATGACGTACACCTCCTCTGAGTCTCTAATTGAATCCAGAGGTTTTGTCTCAAACAGCCATCGCGCTCCGACCACGTCTCCTCTCATGATCTCTTCCTTGGTAACCGTGGTTACTTCATGATAATGACCCTCCTTGTCACGGATGGCGTACAGCGGCTGAGTTTCAAACATCATGGTGTAGTTTTTCACATCCCCCCTCTCAGTGTCCTCTCTAAAGATACTGGTGAGTCTTGAAATGTCCGCCTCAGTGGACTCTTCTTTAATTTGATCAAGAGAGTACGTCTCAAATATAAAGCGGCTTTTGTCAACGTCTCCCCCCTGAACATCGGTCACAGTGCGAACTCCCCTCACTTCTGCCGTATCCTCTCTGATAGCATCCATGGGCTGGTTCTCAAACATCCAGGTACAGTTGACCACGTTTCCCCTCTGGATGTCCTCGGCCTGCTGCGTCTTCAGCTTCTGCATCATCTCCTCGGAGGTGGAGCTCATAATGTCAGAGGAGCGATTCTCGAAGATGTACTTCATCCTGGAGACGTCTCCCGACTGGATGTCGATTTCTGTGACCCTCCTGAAAGAGCCGCTGTCCTCACCGGTGATGTTTTCCAGATTCTCCGTTTCAAAGAGGAAGCGAGCCAGACGTACGTCTTTCCCTTGAATGTCCTCCTGCTTCACGGTGCAGGTTTTCAGAATGGTCTCCGCCTCTGAATGGTCGCGGATGTTGTCCAGAGTCTGAGTCTCAAAAAGCCAAGTGCACGTCTTCACGTCACCTTTTTGAACTTCTTCAACGTCTGCTTCGCTCTTTTCCACCTTTTCATACAGAACATCCATCGGCTGAGTCTCAAACAGCCACCGACACGTCTTCACGTCGCCTTTCTCAACTTCAATACCTTCCTTAGTTTTATGTTCCTCGTCCTCATAACTACTGAAGAATTTGATGCCGTCCAGTGGTTGCGTCTCAAACAGCCACTTTGCTGTTTTCACGTCGCCTGACTCGATCTCCTGCTTGGAGATGCCTTTAATGATCTGGAACTTATTGATGCTCTCGTCAAACTCATCAATGGGACGCGTTTCAAACATCCATCTGCAGCTGCGCACATCTCCCTTCACGATCTCCTCACGCCTCACCGTCTTCACCTCGTGGTAATGGCCGGAGCTGTCCTGCATGGCGTACATCGGGGCCGATTCAAACAGAACTCTGTTGGACATGACAGAGCCGCTGGTGACGCCTTCGACTTGGATTCTCTGTGTTCCTTCGCATTTACTTAAATCCATACTTTCAAACCTTTCTTTATAGTTTGTCACATCTCCTTTGTCGAGGGCCTCGATGTTCACAGTTCTTGTCATCTCCTTCTTCTCCTCTCTTATATTCTCCAGAGGCTGGCTTTCAAAGACCCACTTCTGATGCCTCACGTCACCCTTTTCTTCTTCAGATGCAACCATTTTCTTCAGTTTTCCCACTTCCAGCAGCTCTTTCAGATTTTCCATGGGCACCGTTTCAAACAGATATTTGGCTGATTGAACATCACCTCCTACAATCTCCTCGGAGGCTAAAGGCCGAGCATTGGCGTTATCCTTCAGAGTATCCATAGGCTGAGTCTCGAAAACAAGACAGTGCTGTCTCACATCAGCTCCGATTATTTCTTCCTTTTGCCTCCTGGAACTGTCCCACTCCTCATCCTTAATGGTGTCCAGACTCTTCGTCTCAAACAGCCAGCGACCTTTGTTCACGCCGCCTTGAACGTTGTCCTCCATGGAGATGCCACATATCAGCTTCACTTTGGCAGGGTCTTTGTTGATCATGTCCAGAGGCTGGGTTTCGAACATCCAGCGTGATGTCTTGACGTCTCCCTTCTCCGTCTCCTCCCTGCTGATGGTGGTGATCTCCAGCATCTCTCCTGAATCTCCCCTGATCACACACATGGGCTGCATCTCAAACAAGCGAGTTGTGGTCTTCACATCTCCCTTGATCTCCTCCAGCTCAGACTTCAGGCTCAGGAAGTGACTCTCCTCGATGGTTTCTGTTTTGCCCAGAGAATCCAGATGCTGGGTCTCGAACAGATACCGAGCGGTTTTGACGTCTCCGCCGGTGATGTCTTTGCTGATAACAACGTCCACTTCTTGCTCGTCTTCTTGGTAGATCTTATTCAGATAATCAAGCGGCTGAGTTTCAAACAGCCACGTCGCAGTGCGGACGTCTCCTCTCGCCAGATCCGCCTGTTTTTGCGACTGCTCGGTCGTATCAGGAGTCTCTGTGCCCAGAGCATCCATGGGCTGCGTCTCAAACATCCAAGCTGTGTATCGGACATCTTTCCCTGCGATGATTTCCTGCTGGGAGATGTTGTTCCTCTCCTCGCTCTCGTCTGGGGTGTCGTCTTTAATCGTATCCAGGGGCTTGTTTTCAAACATCCACCTCATGGACTGCACTTCCCCTTTAAGGATCTCGTCCCACTCCAGGTACTCCCTGTCGGGGCTCGAACACCTACTCGAGCTGTTGCCGTCATTCTCAAACATATAACACGCCTGCTGGACGTCTCCCACCAACTCCTTGCTCTCCAACTCTGCCCTTTCTGCGTCGCTCAGCTGACTCAGGAACTCTGCTTCGAGGTTCTTGCGTACCTCTGGATGTATGTGCTTGTAGAGACGCTTTAACTCGGCCAGACTCTTGTGCTTGAAGTACTGCTCCTTAGTGATGGTGTGCTTCTGCTGGGAGGCTTGCTCCTGAGGCTGGGAAGAGCCACTGTGCTCAAGGACTTGGTGTGATAGCTGCAGGTTAGAAGGTGGGGGAGGGAAATGTTCTGCCGCCTCATAAGCCACTGATGACGCAGATGCTACAGATGAAGCAGTGGCTGTCTTTACCGTGGACGAAGCGTCATAGCTCGTGAAAGCTGACATTTTGGAGGACTGGTTCACAGGCGCCCACTGAAACTGGTTGAAATCCACATCAACCTACGGTTCACATGTAGGTTTAGTTACACAGGATCACAATGAGGCTGAACGCTGGAATAATTGTTCATTTCACAGAAAGAGAGAGCTTGAAAGTTGACAATAATACTAATAAAAAATGAATTTAAACGTCAAATAATCACAGGATAAATGATTTCTGTGGTCAGTGTGGTTGAGTCGTATTTCTTTTCTAAAACACCAAACAGCTCTAATTTGAACGTAAACGCACAAACTGATCTTGAATCTGTCAAACGCAGACATTTACAGTTAAGCATGTTCCTAATTACTGACTCGATTTAAATATTCATTGAGCTGCGGACAGCGATGCGAGCTCTTGTTTCAGTCGGATTTTTCCTTTTGCACACAGTCGAGAAAAAACTTTCAGACTTGGGCTGTGTAATGACATGAGGTCTTTTATCGAATCCAATTTATTCTCCATCAGCTCGTGGCATGCACAATTTCCTTTTGATTATTTCATGATGTGGCTTCATATTTATACTGATACCTCATAAAAACCTAAACCATCATCTATTTAGATAAACAGACAGCGTCATTACCTTAATTTCCTTGGCGGGTGCAGCTTCCTCAATCGTTTTTTCATACTGCTGCTTCAAAGCCTGAGTGGAAACCTTTGGTAGGTCCTCTCCGCCGACAAGCATAACTGAATTAGACACAAGAAGAAGGCAGCCTCATTAAGTCATTCGCAGTGAGGGAGCTCATGGGGATTGGAAAGGGAAATAAATCATTTCATTAAAAACCTGAATAGTTTTCATTTTCTGAAACCATGCAGCAGTGATTGCCCAATTTCCACTTTCCAATATTTTACCTTCCTGACTTTGCCCTGATTAGATTTGCTACTATGCACTGAATAGAAAATCATCTGCACTCCAACTCATTTTCAGAGCTCATCCCTTATTCAGCCCGTAGTGGGAACAATCATTAATATACAGGGCACAAGCTGTGCTGTGATAAAAACGTGCAAATTACAATATAAAAGGCATGAGCAGAATAACCTGTTTCATTGTAATGGTTCCCATAACTGGCAGCCACATTGTTATGGTGGACTCTCTGATCATGGATCACCTGTGAAAAGATGGTGGCACATCATTAGCATACTGGCAACGGCAGCGTAGCCGCCGACTGTTTTCAATCAGCGAGAAGTAAAAGGCTTAGTGAGGGGCTTATTTTCTATGGAGGGCATATAAAGTTATGAAACAACAATGAAGCCTGGATGTACTGAGATGCTGCTTTACCTCGTGCTCAGTGAAGGCTGTGGAGGGGGCGAGCTCTCTGGCACTGCTCCTCACCGTCACCTCCGAGGAGCTCGACATCTCCTGTGAAGCACACAGACATGGAAATGATGGCTCAAACGAACCCTCCACACCAGGAAGGAAGCCACTCGACCTGCTTTTATCACCTTGCGACTGCGAGCCGTAGGAAACAGTGGGAGAGTAAGTAATTTTTATGTTGTGAAAAGCTTAATAAAAGCCCTCTGTGGCCGGTAACAAATGCTTTTCCATTACCGCGCTGCTTCCCAGGGAGCAACTAAGTTTGAATTCCACTAAAGGAGGATTTCAGTGTTGGCGAGAAACGGCAATAGATTACAAAAACTGTACAAAACTGCATCAGCCATTTGCTCCGCCGAAATTCATGCAATTTGAAGGAGATGAAAGAGAAATGTGATATTTGAGCTTGTATCCTCTGCTGTTAACATGAAAGAATCATGGAGGGTGGGGGGCGCGCCGTGCTTCACAAACCACTCATGTCGGTATAATAACATCCTTCCTGATGTAAAACACAGTTTGGATATTACACCTGTGCAAAAATACTTGAGGGGAAAGTGGTTCGCTGTTGCTGCGAAGAAGCAATAACTCGATCAAACAGACGTTTCCCCTCATGAAGCCCTATGTAAAATTTAGCATTCGGCGAGGTTGTGGCGTGCTCGATGAATCCACTCTGCCTTCCCGCCTGAATGAGCAGATGGGGAGAACGCAGGCAGGGGCAGGATTGACCTGACTTCCCTGAGATCCGGCCCCTGTCCCGTCCTGCTGCTAACGCGTTCTGGCATTTTCCTCACGCTCCTGACGACAGCGGAGCAGGGTTCAAGGTGCCCTCTCCGATCTGACCCGCCTCAGCCACACCGGCCAAGTTTCTCCAATAAAGATCTACAGCAGAATGTAAATCGTTCGGGGGGCTTTCACATATTCCTCACTTTACACAGAGCTCAGAGCACAGAGGACAGCAGCATCTGTCTTCCAAGTTGTGCTGACTTTAACGAGGAGGAAGAGAAATGTCCTTTCCATCCATTGTCTTCTATCTGTAACAATTCATTGTGTGAGGAAAAAGCTGCGCAGTCAATACCTGATGATATTATCACACGGGTCCTCCGGCCTCGCTGTTTGTCAGATTCTGGCTTTGTGAGACGGTTCGGCATGAAATATTCTTCTCTGAAAAACAACTGACCTTTAATTTTTGCTAACAGTAGTTTGACAGCCTGGTTCTGGATGAGAAGATCTGCATCAGTCTAATGCCAGGATGCTAAATATGAAGCTATGTTGGGGTAAAGTTTGCACAGCACAAAGATGGAAAACAAAACACAAGCTAACTAGCAGGTGAAGCTCAACAGTAAACTAAGAGGTTTCATCTTTTTTTAATTGATTTAAATGCTGAAATCCTTTTTTTTTTACTCCATGAAAAACAAATAAGAGCAGTTTGTGGTCTGCTCCGATAAAGATGGAAGATAAATTAACCAGTAAGAAGAATAAAAATCTAAATATTATCCTAAACCAGAGAGTGTTAGTTTCAGATATGATGTTCGTTTTTTCTGCTTCTTGTAGGTGTCAGAATAAGTTATTTGACTTGGTAATCTAATTAGGAAATATCTGGGAACTTGTAAATAGCAAGAAGTTAATAGTTTTTTTCACAATTAGCTTAGCAGTAGCCTTAGCTCTTAGCTTAGCTTTAACATAATCCTGATAAACCAGAGGTGCAGCGCTGCATTTAGGTGGAATATTTTATTAATGCCATTTTAACAGTTTTAAATAACTGTTGTTTTTAAATGTATTAATTTGCTTTCTTGTTGAGATTTAAAATCCAAACCAAACATAACCTTCTAAATATGACTGCAAGGCCAGAAGAAGATTAATTTCACTTCACAGAAACAGAAACAACTATTCTGGTTTTTATTCTGGGAACTATTTCCCTGTCAAGTGGTTCTAAAGCTCATTAATCCACATGTTCTATCTCATGTCTGGATCACGCAAACAGATCATACATGTTAATGAGAAAACTTCAGACATGTCGGTGGACACATTTATACACTTTTCTCTTCTGTTCAAAGTCCCAGAAATCATCAGTGTTGATCTGCCTTCGTATGAACAGTTAGTCTCACCTGGACTGATCTCTGCTGGAAGTGAAACTGGGTGACGCTGGACTGGGACGAGGTGGAGGTGAACTCCTGGCTCTCAAACTGCTTCTTCACACTGGCCAGACCACCAGGCAGCGAGCAGGCCTCCGACTCATCCATCACCTACCAGCAGAAACCAGATAACATAAATTACTCCTGGAAACTCATCTGTATACATATAATAGATGAAACACACACTCGCTCTACAGTTTATTTGGGATTTAGGAGATTGGATTCGACCTTGGAGAGCTAATCTCTGCTCCCATTGTTTGTGTTATGTTATACATATTTGTAATATGCTAATACAAAAGTGAATGCAAAGGCATTATGCTAATGCGCTCCCAACCCTCCACAGCGCTGGTGCTCTACTAAATGAGACATGAACGCTGTGATATAAAACATTAACATTCTTTTAGGATCCTCTAGGGCGTAAAGATCGTAGTTATCACCTTACATAACACCGAGACGAGGGATGAGTCAAACGGGACGAAGCTGCAGCTTTACAATCCAACCAGCTGAAAGGGAACAAAAGCTGACCTGCAGGAGCTGAGGTGGCTTCTGTGTTCACGTCTGGCAGAGATTTCACAAACACCCAGTTTTAAGGGATTTACTGCTTCCATACGCGTCCTGCAGCTCGGAATCAAGCATCAGTAGATAATTTAGTCTTTCAGAGTATTCAGTTTAATGGAACAAAAATGCTTTTCAATTTCTGTTCCACTGAGTGGCATCAGAGATTATTCCTTTAAACTAGAAAACACAAAAGCGGATTTTTTTATTTTTTTCCCCCCCGAAAAGCCAGAAGAGGAGGAAGGCAGAAGACTTTGTAAATCTCATCAGTATGGAGAGTGCAGCCGTCGCCCTACGAGATCTGGGAGAGAATGCACTCTGACTATTTGATACAATAATCTCCTTTTGGGATTGTCAATTACGTTCTGAATAAAACATTTATATGCAAGCTTCTGCATATATAGCTTCTGGGAAACTGCAATATATATGAGAATCTCCAAGCCTGCTGCTGCTGCTGTGTGTGTGTGTTGATGTGTGTCTGTGTGAGTTAATGTTAAACACACGCACTTGTCACCCTCCGTTTTTCATGCAAATGAGGGCTAGAATGCAATTTGCAAGTTATTGCCGAGGAGTTTAGGTCAGTGACATGTTATGTGCAGGGCAGCATGTTATCAATATTTTACTACTTCAGGGTACAATAGCTTCATTCATAATGACTGTCATGCTCATAATGTCCGTCTGAGCAGCACATTCAGGCTTCATACACACTCTGTCTCGTCTTGTCTCACTTATTATTGTGATCAATGCTGACGGTGCTGAATTTAACAGAAATAAAATACCCCTAATTAGGCTCCCAATTGTGTCTACGCTTAATATAAAGTTAAAGGACGGAGCTAGTCTATCTGAGCATAAAAACTAACACCTCCTTGAGAGTAGCATCAATCTTCTCCCTTTACTCCTAAAAAGTAGACTTCCCAAACTGTTCTTCTAGGTGGGGGAAGGTTTTGGTTTAATGCTAATAAAGTAAGGCTGGACAGAACGGAGATAAGCTTCCTCTGATCAAACAATAACACTCCATCGATCGCAATAAGAAACCAGCTGAGGAGGAAGCGGTGAACAGAGGAATGTGTCGGATGCTGTTCTGCTATATTTAAGCATGCTGTCACTAGGACACGCAGGACAACAGCTGCAAAAGGTAGAAAGCAAAAAACCCCATGCTGATTGCGTCTGGAAGCTATCGACTGCCCCTCACACACCCCCAACACACACACACACACATGGACGTTCAGCTGTCGGGGGCCATGACACCGAGGATCAGCCGAGGCTGCAGCGCCGCCACACTGGCAATCACTCAAGAGCAAAACAATCAGTAGCTATCGGTTTTATTTAAAATAACGTCGAGGATTTATTGAATTTGTGTAGTGGCTGTCATTTAAAGGATAATTACGTGTTACAGCTCATTGTAAAAAGCAACAAGGCACTCGAGGCAGTGCTTTACAGTGATTTTAGTGCAGCTAGAGAAGCACCGTGTGTTGTTAACAACACCTCTCATCTCGCCCTCGAGTGCCTTGTTGCTATGCAGAACTGTGACCGGCTGAAAGCGAACGCACTGGAAGCGTTTTGTTATTTTTCTGCATGCAACTGCTGCGGCTCGTCATGTGCAAAGGCTCCAGCGGGTGGCAGGTTGCCCTCCGTGAACATGCCAGAGTGGCCTGGTGACGGCTGCATAGATTATTTATCACCTCGTGTAACAACAAGACGATGATGGTTCGGAGGAAAACTGACGCCTCTGTCCTTCCTCTCTTATGCTGTCAGATTAGAGATAAACCACGATGCATCCCTGCAGCTTTCTGCTCAAAGAAACAGAAAACTATGTGAAAGCTGCCGCGTGATGTTGTGTTTTGTCGCTGTACAGCACAGTTCACAAGGAAAGAAGAGAGGTTTTCCAGTAGGTAGGGCTTTGTTTTAGAAACCGAGCGGCTTGCTGTAATGGCCTTGGCTGACAAACTGCTCACACAGTTGAATTACTGGGTTTATAAAGTGCATGCAGGCGCTTCAAAGCCACTGAGGCTTTTTTGTCCTTGGTGATGACTAATGACTCGAGGATATTCAGGATTTTTTTTCTTCCTGTTTTTTTTTTTTTTGTGGGTTTAATTAAAAGAGGAATAATGTGTGAAGTCCTGCTGATGTGCTGGCTGTGTCGGCTCATCTGAATTTGCTGCAAAATACGCATTCTGTTTAATCATAGATGCTGTAAAAATGGGTCTGACACGGCGATTGATGGTTTTGTCTGCTGCTGCCGCTTCGTACAGTAAAAGCAGTGGAGTAGAAACGGCTGTCAGCAGGGTGCCGGCGCGTACACACACACTCACACACACACACACACACACACACACACTCACACACACACACACACACACACACACACACACGCCTGTTAGGAGAAAGCAATGTCAACTTTCTTTTAGGATTCAGACTCTGGCACAACAAAAATTCAGTCGCCCTGGTAAATAACATTCTAGGTCATAAGTACATAAGCAAAATGGGACCAACACATCAAAAGTACCAGGTTACAGTCAGGTAGCTGAGCCCAGTGGTACCAAACCTCTGAGGTCCGTCTACAGGGTCATGATGATGATGATAATGTCCACTAAACCAGTGTCGACTAAAAATGCCACTCCTATACAACCACCTGCTCTCTGAATTACTGGAGGGAAACATATGTTTACATAGATCACAAAAACATGTCTGATCAATAAATCCAGCTGTTTATTTCCTGCCTTTACTATCATCCCCTATGAGACAACCACCCCTATAATACATGAGGTCGTCATTCAGATAAATGCTAAGTCATGCTTTTTACGTTTGCATGTCAGCAGAAGCCAGTGGATGTAAATTTTGTCATCTGCCCACAACAAATGTTTTAACAGAGCTGTGACTGAAGCCGTCGCTGCAGGACTTTGGAGGTGCTTTGACTGCTTTCCATCGATGGAGCCCGAACGCTGTAGGAAGTTCTAAATTCTCCAGAAACCCTGCGCCCCCTCGGCCCACTGTGCCCGTCACACCTCAGGAACAACCGCATCGACACGGCGCTGCAGTTCAATCTGGAACCAGCTGGAAAAAGTGCAAAGTCACAAGCAGCCTTTGGTAAACAGCCTCCGGATCCCTGCATGTTAGTGGACCGACGTGGACCTGTTAGAATAAACAAAGGCATGTACACGCCGGCCGCCCGCTTTCAAGGTCTGCATCGGTCAGCGCACCATGATGTAGAAACCGTGAATCAACCATGAACCGGAAAATGGAGGGAAGCTTCATACACGCAGTGAAAGGATGGATAGTTTTATATTATACTAAACCCAACAGTTTAGTTGTGTCTTTAAAAACATAAATGCAGTTTAGTCGTACAGGAATGATGTGACACAGAGTCGTAGATGATTAAATCTGAGAACGATGCTGTAAACGAGGTTGTATATAATTTATGTAGCTCAGCTTCAGTGTCAGTCTGGAGGGAAGACGAGTTGATGGTCTGAGTGACGCAGAACATGAGCTTCTCTTTGTTTTGTGTGGTCCTCTTAACTTCAAACTGGAGACGACTATGTTGGCAGATCATATATAAAACATCTGCCAGAATCTGGGAGAATCCTGAGAGAACAGATCTTCATCAGGATAAACTGTAGTTTCGTAGCAGCTCTTTTTTATGAATATGTTGTTAGACTTTATTCTTGTGCTCTTATTGGACGATGCTTTCTAATTCCAGCCAGGAATGAATTTGCATGACAGAAATAAAAACTACCACCTGACCAGAGTCCTTTCAGGCGAGCTGGCGCCACTCAGCAAGCGTTCTTCAAGCGACGAGTCTCTCTCTTACACTTATTGTGACCTAATTAAAGATCTGAATGAAATCAAGTTTAAAAGAAAAGAGTGTCTTTGATGCTTCCAGACACCTGAGGATGAGTGGAAGAGCCACGCTGCTTTCTGCACTGCCGGGCTGAGACTCCAGAACATTTCCTCTGATGAGAAGGTCACCGCGTCTGACTACAGAGTAAATTCTTGGCCTCACTCGGCTGAGACGCGTGACGACTTCGCGGTACAATCATAGCTTGCCGTCTTTCATGACCCGCGTGAGGACAGCAGGAGGGAGGTGCCGAGGAGCGCCTTGAAAAATAATGACCTCCCAAAGTGGTGCGCAGGATGCTGGGCGTCTGTGAAAGGAAGGAGCGACCGTGGAGCTGACTGTGGGTCACAACTACAGGACAGGATGTGTTGTCAGGCCTGTCATCTGGCCTTTGATTTGCCTTTTTTATAGTTGAGAGCAGAACAGTGCTCTGTGCTCCTATTGGTCCGTGTCATGGACATGTTGAGAAAGTAAAACACTGTTCTGTTCCAACATCTGTTAACTTTTGAGTGAGGCTAACACCAGGTTGATGTGGAAAACTACTGCTTTAACTTTTAATAGTTATATTTTATAGCCTTGTCATACCAGATGATGCTTTATTTGCTCGTGCATTTTTCTATTATGTCCATTTTTGTTTGTCTTTTTAGGAAACTGTGACGATGATTTGTTAGTTTATGAAAAGTTTTTCTTTTATCGAATACATAATTTATGCAAATCACATGCAACGAGTAGCTTAGCAACGTAGCAACAAACACTGCCTCCCTCATAGCAACACCTGCAAGAAATAACAGAACCTATGAAATAAAGCTTTACCATTAAATCTAGTCATCATCATAATCATTCAAATCATAAAAAACAAACATATAAATACCTCAAAACTGGACTAAAGATATTGAAGTAAAACGTCATTCAGATCTACTTTATTGGCTCTTCTTTGTGACTCTATATTTGATCGTACTTGGCATCATGCTGGAACAGCAGCCTGTATGGAATAGCTTATTCCCCCTCCAGAGATTTGCTCTTCCCATCTCTTAGTCTTATGACACATTCCCTGACCAACCCTCCAGAGGCCGGTGTCCACCCCCTCCCTTCTCTGTCCAACCATCTAGCGCACCAGCAGGACGGTGGGTTTCCTGTGGGCGACTGTTTGCCGTCTCTCCGGCTGCCTGCACATCCTCACCTCCGTCTCCCGTTACGTGCATGTGGAAGTATCGTCTTACCGCGGCAGACGAGGAGCTGCCGCCTTCCTTCTTGGACACGGCGGCCTGATACATCGCCAGCCGCTCCTTCACCGACACCGGCTCGGCCTCCTGGTCCTCGGCGCTCGGGGCCCTGTCCTCGGGACGTCCGGACCTGGATGCGGCAGCGCTGCCTGCAGCTACGCACACAAACACAAAGACGTTACCCTTTAAGATGCAAATGGCCTTCGACGATGCGTGCAAACCAAACCGGTGTAATTGTTGGATACGTCTCCTCAAGAGATCTGCTGATATTTACCTCCTACTCATTACTCCTTTGGCTCGGCAGTGAAGGCTGCGACAAAGCTTGCCATTTAGTAATTGGACTTAAGGGACAGTTTTGTACTTGAGGTTTGTGTTATTATAGTGGAACAGGCTGAATCAATGCCATGGATTTTTATATTTAGCTGCTTCAGAGAGAACAGCATCCTGACTGAAGCATTACTCAACCCCACTGTGCTTTCCTAAATTACACGGAGAGGAAACAAGCGTGTTCACTAAACGCAGGCGCCATCTTTAAAACTCTGATCAGCTCAAACCAGGAGTTTGATGAAGACGTAGTTCAATTCATCGTAGATGTTTTAACCAAGACATGGCCGGAGGCAGCCGACCTGCAGCAAATACTGACACCAAACCGAAGCAGAACGCTCATCAATCATAAAGCGCCGCTTCACCAGTCTTCATATCGCTCCGTGCATCCCCGCGGAAAGCCAATTAGAGAAGACCATTGATTTTACATTTGACTTTTCAGCGCTACAAAGCATCATTAGGCAACAGAGAAGGCTCCGATAAGGTTCAGCATACTCCCACACTGGACCTTTTAGCTCTTGGCATGTTTTCTCTCTGTGGGCAAAAACACCGTGGGATGAAAGAAGACCTCACATAGAAATTATTCTCCCTCATTATGTGCTCGCGCTGTAAACTTTTGACATTTTGAAATCTTCCTCTTTGTTGCATTTTCACACTTACATTTTTTTCCTCCACATGTATGTTTACTGGCGTACGTTCGGCTCCAAGCGGAGGTCAGCGAGTTCTCCTCCAGAGCTGATTGATGTTTATTTGAAAAGTCTCGTAGCAGCTGCTTCTAAAATGCATATGGATCAGATGAAGGTCCCCTTGGTGCCGTAGTAGCTCACAGATTAGGAAGATGCAGCGCTCGCTATAGTACATACCGTTCATGCTTAGCTGTGCAGAACAAGCTATCCTAATGTCACTTCTGTGGCTGGATATAGCACCGCTCCTCGTTTCTGTGGCTGAAGTGGGTAAAAACTTTGATACCCGCCTTCACAAAACAACGACATTCAGTGTAAAAACATGTTGTTTACAAAGGATCCGGTGTTACCCGGGTCAGCGAGGTCGCGCAGGCGGAATAAACGAGCATCAGTTGTTTATGTTGACGTCACCTTTGTTGAACTTTAACACCAGAGGCCATGTTGCTTAACATAAAAACAACCGTCTGAGAACGTTTAACAGTCCTACAGATCTATGCTATGGCAAATCGTTTTCATTATCCCAACTGTATAAGAACTTATGTTTTGTCTCTTTCTCTAAAAGTTCAAAAACTACAACATGCCACAGTTACAGAATTCATCAAAAATGAATGAATTTAAGCAGCAGGTGATATAAGAAACCTTCTGCCTACGTTTAGCGCTGCTATCTGACTGGATCTGAACCTCAATACTTGGATAGTTTTTGTGTAATGGACCCAGGAAGGTGTCAGTAATGCCCCAACCCAACATCTAAGGGAAAAAAGTGAACTACTGTTAATATTTCTATAGAAGCTGTGATAGAAACGCTGAACTCTGACTGAATAAAAAGCTTTAAGAGTCCAAAATGGAGGAAGCTATCATTGCTCAAATGTAATCAGACAGTTTAAAGTACAAAACCAGACATTTTTTAAATATGCGTTAACTTATTTGTCTATTTACGACGGCTAAGACGCTTGCTAGCTCCTCGCTGACCTCTCTATCTGGTGGGTTATCATCAGAACAGCGTGACCATGTCCTTCCTGGTATGTTATCCAGCTACGGCAGGACATGAACGACGTCACCATGCTGCTAGATATTTAACAAAGCCACAGGGAGGAACTGTACTGTGACACATACTGGTGTGACTGGGCCTCCACTCCAACGCCATGTGACCAAAGCTCTGCTCATCCCACCAATTTTAGCCCTCCGCTACGTCCGGCATGTTAGTGTAACCAAGAACCCGTCGGAGGGGGAAATAGGCCGTTGGAGACGGCAGCATCTGAAAATAAACAGGGTTTTACCCGCTACATCCTATAAATATGGGTCAGAAATCCTACACCTGAGGCTGCGGTGTGACCTCATACCAGCCCGATGACAGAAACACAAGGATAATGCCCTCATTTATCACCCGGGATAAACGCTGGTGTCACGGTCTGGAGCTGTCACAGTCGGAGACACGAGCGTTTTGACGGCTTGGAGCGTTGACAACAGCGGTTTGGAGGTTTTCAGAGGGCTATGCTGTGTGCAGCGCTGCCATAGCATGGAGGTGAGGTAACCGGGCTCCAGAGGGGGGAGGCTGAGCGGAGGAATAAAATAAACCCAGCCTTTTTATAAACCGGCTCTGTCTGCAGCGTCATGTTCCCCTGTAACACGGAGATTTATGAGTGTGTGTGTAGGGGTGTGTGTGTGTGTGTGTGTGAGAGGGAAATGAAAGGGGGAAAAAAAACAGAGAACTGAAAATTGAAGAACTCTTAATAGGATATTTTCAAAGATGTGAAAGTCGTTTCACCGTCTCCCTATGCAGCTGCTAATTAGTACTGGCACCAACGGATGTCTAATTAGCATTAATAATAGCTTTCAAACATGTTCTCATTGCTTAAGATGCCCCGGCATAATGAGGGCCAAGTCTCTGTTTACAGCGGCGTGCCGATATCAGAACAAACTTCTTTAGAGGCTTACACTTCCAACCTGTGTCATTCCATCCTTTTATGGGGAGCATATTGGGCTGCTTACAAGTATCTCCACCACGACTATTTTCTTCCTCTCTGTGTATTAGCTGCTTATCTCTTCGATGCCACGGCGGCGGCGGCACAAGAGATGGCGCTGACCGAGGGGTAATGGAAGTGGGAGAGGCCAGGGAAAGTCAACACGGGAGGCCATGCTGCTGCCGGCGTGCACGACTCAGTGGCTATATTGAGCTGAGCCCGGGGTTGTCGACCCGCCTGTCACTGTCTCCTCGCCGCCGCCGGCTCTAATGCAGCCGAGGCGAGGCGAGGTGGGGCGCTGGGGAAGAGGACGGCAGAGGACAGAAGAGGAATTTCTGGGGTGTGAGGGAAGGCAGCGTGGCTTCATAGCTAAAAGCAAAATCAGGAAGCACAGATCTGTGTCGGGCCGAGGTTGTCCTCTAATCACGGAGGCGTCACCCCTGTTCTGCCCTCTCCTCACAGCGGAAGCCTTAAGCCACCCAATTTTCTGTTCACTACTTACTGACCAGAGCTTTTGCCTGGTGAGGTTTGACAGGAAAGCCAAAACAAGCTACACTAATTGAAATGTCAGCCGTGGAGGGCGAATTCTTCCTTACAGACGAAAGCAAAACAGGCACAATAATTAAGCTGTCAAATCTATCAAAATAACTTCTTTACAAGGAGACTGGATTGCCCTCGAGCGTTTCCTTATGCTAGGCTAAGCACTTTGTCTCCGATTCGCCGCGCTTTCAGAATATTCCAGATCAAACCGCTGCCGGGGACGACTGGTGGAAGGAAACAGGAAGGACCCATGCATGTTTTATGACAAAGCACAAATCCTGGTGGGATCATGGAAACATCACATCTCAGTGTGTGTGGAGCTCAGATCACATGAACACAACACTTCATTACATTTCTGATTCCACTGCGCAGCCTGGATGCATCACACGGACTCATTATCAGCTTTGTCTAGCATTTCCAATCTCTCTCCGTCCACTTGTGCTCTGGTGGACTCCTGCTTACCTTCTGTGTACGTCGCTCTTTGAGTAAAACAATACAATCCAACCGAGTAGAAAAGGAGCTTCTAGAAACCAGAATGGTCACCTAGTTTCAGCCCGGCACAGAGACCCGATCCCGGCCACAGAGGGACAGTGAGGCTTGGAGACCAGCTCCAGCAGTGCGCTCCACAGCTCAGTGAGGCCCTGGCATCCAGTGACAGCTGATTTTATTTTAGAAGTCCCCCTTCGTAAAAAAAACAGGACGGACTTCGGGGGGAGAGTCTAAGTGGATGTAGGCTGGCTTTTTTTAGCTGTAAGAATTGAGGTACCCAACATGCCCTTAACCTTATGTCACAGTAGACTTACGGACACAGACGTGTGTGAAGCAGAAAACCCCGGCAGACTCTATATAGGCTCCATATCAATTCACTCTACGACTGAGCACACAGCGCAGATGATTTCATTCATACAGCCACATATATAACATAGATATAACTACACAAACACTGAGAAAGGAACAGGTTCAGACTGATCAAAAAGGAGAACGTTTCAGGAAATAGCTTTCTTTGCTTCCTCTTAGAGAGTCGGATGAAAAAATCAATCCCACCCTCGTGTCTATATGCTGATAGACGCAGGAAATGATCGCTCAACTCAAAGGCATAAAAAATACACAGAGCAGCAACAAAAGCTCAGGAAATTTAACAAAACTCTCCCAACAGCTATTCATACACAACTAGTACATTCTCTGTTTGGTTTAAATAGAATATTTTCTGGAAACATAAGCAGTGGGAAAGACGCTGATTCAAATCTTGTGTGGAACCGTTACCTCTACGTTCTGTTTTCACTCACTGTTTTTAGGTTGCATGGTTAAGTTTAGGAAAATATGACGGTTTGGTCAACATTTTCATGACAGGAACTAATTGTTTAAAGCTCAGTAAAGTCCAGGCAGCAACACTATGTTGATAAGTTTAGGAAAACAGCGTGGTTTGGGTTAAAATACAACCCGTTAGATGCTTCTCCTCCATATTCTGGGATACCAAGGCAATGAGTCACACTCAAAAGGAGCTCATCTGTTAATATGTTTTGCTCAAAACAGTCTTGAGAATGCAGTAAAGTTGTATAAGAACATCAGTTGGGAGACAGACTGAACAAAACATATCATGACAAATCTCTTTACGGTGCAGTTACACAGAATTGTTCAGCTCTGTAA